AGGACCAAAGTAAGTAGTATATATATATATATATATATATATATATATATGTCTGGTCAGCCAATGCTGAACATTCAAATGGCCTTGTTGTTAGGGTGCTCGAATCCGCGATATGCAAGACAGAGGTTTGAATTCCCATCACAGAACAATTGATATAATCCCATTCAGATGCTCTTCCCACATTTTTATGTAGTCTTTCATAATTTCTACAGAACTCCAGTCATTGTTACAAAAGGGGAGTGATAATTTAACAAGCTAAAGCTGATTAAAGATTAAATTATCTGTATTCTACCATTTCCCAACGTAGACCAATAGATTTGGGAACACTGACAATTGAAAGTAATTTAGCTTACCAGACACAGTTATTGTCTCCATGGGCATTAGCATGTAGAACAATATCTCCATATCTGAAGTGCTTAATATTCCCAATAGTTAAACATTATTTGTTTTAATTAATAATGATATCTAACAGAGAAGTTTTATAATGTTTTAAAGCAAAAACAAATTTAAATACGTGTGTGTTTGTGATGTTAAAATGAAATGATTGATATTCAGTGAAAAACCACATTTTAAATAAAACAACTGCGTGTTCTGAAAGTTGTAAATCTCTATAAAAAAGCAAAACTAGATAATAGTTATAAACCTCTTAACCATGGGAATTATGTCTTATTATGCTCTTTCAGGCATGAGAACATTATCATACAAAGTTAATGAATGTGCATGGGAATAATGTCTAAGAATCTTATCTCACACTGTGAACTTTGCCAGACAGAAGGGCAGGAAATTAAACTTGGCACAATTAATTACCCAGTTAAGTGTTTTTTGAATTCATCATAGTAAGAGATCTAACAAAAAAAAATACAAATGAAGTTTGTATACATGTATAAAAGTTTGCCTTGTTTACAACACTGTAGGTCTTGAACCAGGGATGGCTGGTTGTGCATAAAATGTTCATGAATAGGGTTAAGTACATATGATGCTTAAAGTATAATGATAATTGA